GGAAGTACCTTAAGAATTTTGATGATCACCAGTGGGCGAGTCAGTGACGAAAACGTGGTTTTTTAGATACTCGTATCAATAAAATCTAAAGTAGGTACAAACGTTATGCGATTGAAATTCTATATGTTTAATAAGTCGACTATTGACATAATATTCCAAAAATTTTGTTTATCTGTTATAATCCGAACCCAAGTTTTGAGGGTTCAAAAAAACGACGAAGCGCTTCGAGAAAACGTAAGTAGTGCTTCGTTTTGATTTGGTTGGCCCGTCTTGGCGGAGGCACTACCTTGCTCTCGGATACCACATTATAATTAAAGCTATTTTTGAACGGATTGTACCTTAAAAGAATATGTACTCAATTTTTTACTGAAGGAATATATTCATATCTTTCGAGATATACCTATGTATATCCAGCAATTAATTCAACAGCTAATAAGCATAACACCAACTTAGTAAGCTACTTTTCAATAGTTACCTCACTTAACAGGCCAGCAGGTTTCTCTAAAACTTTCGATTTTAATAATTTATTCATTGAATTATATATAACTAAGTTATTTATATAGTAAATGTATATTCTTATACATCTTTATATATAAAAATTACGTGTCACATTGTTTGTCCGTGATGAACTCCTAAACTGTTGAACGAATGTAAGGATTTTTATGGGAAGGGTCGTCGGAAAGGGCAGAACAACGTCTGCCTGGCCAACTAGTATGTATATATATATATATATATTTACGTTGTTCCGCCCTTTCCAACATTTCCTATAAAAATCCTTTAAATCGCAATAAAAAAATTTGTTTATATATATATATATATATATATAAGATTGAGAGAGAAAACTGCAAGGCCCCAGGTGAAGATGGAATTACAGCGGAGCTTCGGGTGCGGGTGGAAAGTCGGTACTTGAAGAACTACAGACCGATTTCTCTTCTGACCTGCGTCTACGTGCTATTTTCGAGAGTCATTACGAATTGTCTCGCACGCAGACTCGACGATTTCCAGGATGAACAAGCCAGTTGGCTTTTGCACCATAGACCACATACATACCCTACAAGAAGTTGTACAGAAGATCGAAGAATACAATCTGCCACTTTGTCTTGCGTATGTGGACTATAAGAAAGCCTATGATTCAATCGAAATTTGGGCAATGCTACAGTTCCTTCAGTGGTGCCAAGTGGACTGTTGTTATATCGAAGTGCTGAAGTGTTTGTACAATGGGACCACGATGGCTATCAGAGTACAGAACCAGAGTACGAAACCTATCCAATTGCAGAGAGGTGTAGGACAGGGTGACGTAATATCCCCGAAACTCTTCACCGCTGTATTGGAAGACGTTTTCAAGCTAATGGACTGAAAAGGATACGGTATTAACCTCAATGGCGTGTACATCACTCACCTTCGATTTGCCGACGATATATCTAAGATGAACATGTACAAAACAAAAATCACGTTTAACGTCCACGTCACACCTATGCCGGTAGTTGTTGGGAGCACTAAGCTCAAAGTTGTTGACGAGGATGTTTACCTGGGACAAATAGTCCGACTAGGTAAGTCCAACTTTGACCGAGAGGTCAATCGACGGAATCAACTCGGCTGGGCAGCGTTCGGGTGATTACGATACATCTTCTCGTCAGACATACTTCAGAACCTCAAAACTAGATTGTACAACCAGTGCGTGTTGCCAGTGATGACCTATGGATCTGAGACGTGGTTCTTCACTGCTGGCCGTATAAAGAAAGTTGCTCAGGTAGCTATGGCGTTTATTTGCGTGATAAACTTAAAAAAGAGGATATCCGCAAGTAGAACCAGAGTAACCGACATAGCCCAAAGAATAAGCAAGCTGAAGTGGCAATAGGCCGGCCATATAACTTGAAGAACCGACAACCGATAGGGAAGAAAGGTTCTCGAGTGGCAGCCTCGTACCGGGAGGCGAAGTGTAGGGCGTCCCACTACGAGATGGAGTGACGACCTGGTAAGACATGCAGGAAGTCAATGGATGTCAATTTTATACGTGGTAGAGCCATGCTGCAGCTATATTATGGTTGTAGCATGAATGGGTCGGCTCGACCGGGGAAGGACCACGCTCTCACAGAAAACCAGCGTAAAATAGCAGCTTAACGCTGCTGTGTTTCGTATGGTGAGTGTAGAGAACCGGAGACCCTTTTTACTGGCAAAGAAGCATTCCATCTTAGTCCTCACGGGTGACAACGCATCTGCATCTTGAGTCTTTATTGAGGGTAGATGTAGATGTCTATGGGTCACAGTAACCACTTACCATCAGGTGGACTGTGTGCTCGTTTGTCACCCGATCCTATAAAAAAAAATGCAGGGACCGTGCTTTGTGGCCTTCCTTGGGGGAGGCCTATGTTTAGTAATGGACTAGTGAAGGGCTGTAATGATGATGATATATATATAGCGCACACATTAATTTAGATTTTAGGTGCATGTTAGGAACATGTTACATTTCAGTTCTTATTTTCTCGAGACAACGATCTTATTCGAGGATAGATATATCTAAATGTGTCTGAAATGTGTAAAAATCACTTAACATCAAGCACTCTATGTAATCGTTTGTCACTCTTACTCGAAAAAAAAATTATGAACATGTGTAAATCCTATATTAAATGATACAAAATGGAGTTTCATCAAGTAACAACCAGCACCTATAATCACAAAAGTAAATTTTACTTTAGTTATTGATTTAGATCTTAAAAAATTCGAGAATATGTCACGTGAAGATATTAAATATTTTCCTAAAATTTTTTAGACATTTTTATAAGTTTAATGGCAACTCTCTAGCACAAAGACAACCCGTCCTTCTTGTTTTATATTAAATGTCCTTCAACATCAACTTTTGATAAACTAATTATGTAAATCAAGATTACAGTTTCGTATCTTCTTTACATCTTCTTGTGACATTGACATAAATTTTATAAACAAGTTTGAATAACAATCGAAAGTGAGACTCGGAGGAATATAATTCTCTGAGCTAAATATGGATATAGCTGTATGGGTTATTTTACAAAAAATGTTATGTAACTTTCAGGCTTTTTTTGTTTATATAATTTTAAAATATTTCGAAAGTAAAACAGTTCTATCAGGTTCACTGTACTAAAGTAAATTTAATGTAATATATTATTTATAACTACATTACACATTTTTTATAATTTCTATTGATTTTAAAAAACATCAGTTTGACATTTATGTGTAGCTATCAAAATATTATAACAGCAGCATATTACTTGTAGCTGAATAAATATGTTAACGTATTGCACAATCAGTGTAAAGGTAAACCTAAATAATTTATGGTTGTTACTAAACGTCCGTAATAATAAATGTTGTGGAACACTCGAAATGCACGGAGTGTAAAATAAATTATATTAAAAATTCTTCTTCTTTACCATTATCAGGCCGTAAAAGTTCGAGCTGTGTTCGGGCCTCTCTTATTGTAGGTATTTTGTATCAGCTTGACAGGCGGAAGACAAGAAAACGGAAAATATTTTAATTCAATGTATCCGCATAATTTTAAGCAATTATAATAGTAATTGTATTGATAAATCAAAATTTTAACATCGAATTTAATATGTGTTCCGTTAGAATGCATAAATATCAATGAACAAAGCAAAAGACATCAACGAACTCTCCATTAGACTTTTAACATTTATTTGGTATTAATAAGAATTGGTATTGTTAGAGGATACTTCTTCTAAATTTCAGACATCAGACAATCACGCACAGGTGAAGCTGTTTGTGATTACCTCATTATTATAAGAGAATCTTGATAATGCTATGTCCATCTGTGGACACTGTGAAAAAATTAAAAGATTATGACCGACTGCACTGCGAGACTTCTGGCAACTTAGACGCATGTTAATAGTAATTAATCACAATATCTTAAGTCTAAAGTTTTGGACTTTTTGGATATTTCGTCAGATTACTTAACTTTATTATCTTAATTATAGTGACGACGAAGCAAAATATTCTTTTGAAATTTCTGATGAAATTGTTTCGGTTTTTTTTTTGCATATTTAATTCGATTCAAAAATTAGAACTTCAAAGAAAAATTACTTGTATAAATTATACCAAAATTAATTTTAGTTACTTTTACATTACTTAACTGTTCAATTAAATAAATATTTACAAGTGCTTACAAGTAGGTATATACATTTTTTATAGGATAAGGGTGATAAGCGAGCACACAGTTCACCTGATGATAAGTTTTTGCTGTGGCTCATAGAAATCCACATCTATCTTCTTTTACGAATGAAAATGCAGATGCGTTGTCAGCCGTGAGAACTAAGGTGAAATGCCTCTTTTGCAATAAAAAGGGTATCCAGTTCTCTACACTCACCATACGAAACACATCAATCAGCATTAAGCTGCTATTTTACGCTGGTATTCTGCGAGATTCTGGGGGTCGGCCCTTCTACGGTCGAACCGACCCATTCATGCTACAACTATACAATTAAGATAGCTGCAGCATGGCTCTACCAGTTTTAAAATTTACTAATCCACATAGAAAAGCTTGAAGTCATTGTTCAAATAAGAGCAAGGTAAATATCAGGGCTCTTACCATTTTACTACATAAGTATTACTTTATATGAAATATTATGAAATAAGAATATATATATATATATATATATATATATATAAAAAATTACAAACGACTTAGATAAGTTGGTTTTTAAAGAGAAACTAACTTAACTAAGAGAGATGAAACATTAAAGTATGCTTAATTTTTTTATATTAGCTAAAATATAATTAACATTATATTTTTCCAACATCAGCCCCAGTAACGTCACGATGCTTATTAAAAGCTGCGTCGATAGTGTTATGATTTATATGTGCGAGAGGTGTAGTACGCATAAGACTGGAGTATTCTCGTCGTTCTGTCTTCGACGTCTTGGCCGCTTATATAAATAGGTGAAGAGGGGCAACAGATACCTCTTGCACTTTCTTGTGGTGCGCGACGTAGCGGCCAGTCCTTCCCGAGCACCATGGCTCGACGCGCGTATCTCTGTCTCGGAGTTTTATTGTTCGTCTACTTTGGTAAGTATCCAAAGATCGTGTATTGTCTTGTGCAAAAATAATTTGCGCGAACATATATTTAATTAATAATTATTTTTTAATTTTACATAAAAACTGCGTTGTTTTTTAATAATTATCGTAAAACTAAAAATACAAAAATATTTCGAGATAAAATTAATGAATAGTGATTTTTATCATTTATTTATTTTAATTGATTTATTGGTTTATATTATATTAATTATAAAATATTTATGTATTTTTTATATTTTATTTTATTGTATTTTGTATATCATAAAAGGTATTTTTACAATTAAGCTCTAATAAAAATAATTGTAGTCGCAGAATAAATAATCGTACTAACGTATCGTAGTCTTTTGAATGTAAGTTGCAAGCTACAAAGAACAACTCCGGTTACTTGCGTGGCCAGTGCTGACCTCGATTTCTTTTAAACGTTTAACTTTCAATGCCGTCATGATTTCATTTACAGTATACGCAACTAGAATAATCATAAAAGGGTTTTATAATAAGACTGTTCAATACCAATTCCAGTAGAAATGTCGGAATAAGCTTTTTAACTTTACTTTTTTATACCTATGAAATTCTTTGGATCCCTATCGCATTACTCAACATTTATATCTAACTGTCATTGAATTGAAAGGTAGCTGACACCGAAAATTAACGGTATATATTAATACTCGTGTGTGGTAATCGGTGCTTACGAGCTTACAACGTAGAGTATCGACGTTACACAAGCGCGTTTTGCCAATAATATATGCTTTGTTACAAAAGAATAGATTAGACGGTTAGCCGTTGCTGCAACTGCAAAAAATATTCGCATGAGTTCACAAGTCGAGTTTTAGCTTACATTAACGTTCTTACGTAATGGATTTTAGAACATAGATTGTATTTCAGTAAGCGGACAAGAAGAAGATGCTGGAGGTGATGATTTAAGCCCTGAACAGCTTTGCGAAGGTCGCCCTGCGGACGAATACTTCCGGCTTACTACTGAAAATGATTGTCGAGATGTTGTCAGGTCAGTCATTGAAAAAGAAAAGAAAAATCTTGTTATATAAAAAATATCACTCATTTTATGTGATACTCTCATAATATTTCGTTCTCATAAATGCAAATAACAGGAGATAAATCTAGCAGTAACCACAATGTTTCATGCCATTCTCTAATCTTAAGTTTATTTATAGGTGCATACCACCAGTATATACTATTAAGTATGCCAGAACTTTATATTCTACGTGGCGAACGGAGCATTCGACAATCGATATCGTGCTTTGAATATTAGTCGTATTTGCTCTTTGACTGACTGAACAAAGCAGCTTTTAATATTAAATTTAACTAATTCTAGTTCTGGCCATAATATTTGATTACTCAAACTTTTCATCGCAATCTTTATAAATAACTATAAATTTATCATTGCATTTACATTAAATATTTTCATTTATATTAAAATATATTTTAATACAAATAACTATAATATATTTTAAATTTTAATAAATATAGTTTATAACTACCTTAATTAAGTAATGATGTTTACAGAAAATACAATTAAATCATTGAACTTAAATCATAATAAACTTGAAAGTTAGTATAAACAAATACATGATATTGTATTTGTTTATACTAACTTTAATTTTTATTATTTTAAAACTTTTTATTTGGCGGCTCCGTGGCGTAGTAGTTTAGCAATGAGTTGCTGCGCTGGGAGCCGCGGGTTTGAATCCCACACGGAATAGGTATTTGTATGGCCTACAAATAATTGTTCCGGGTCTGGATGTTTATCCTTGTGCAATTTATGTTTGTAAACTGCCTCCACGATACAGGAAAAAATCCTAGTGTGGGGGTAACGTTTAAAAAAAAAACAAAATTAAGATATTTAAATTTTCCTCCATAGTAATAAGATTTAATACATTCATCAAGTTTACAGGCAACTGATATTTTAAATATATTACTATTTAAAAAACTAACAACCATGTACCATTTGACAGCGCTCCACGACTCGTTTCGTCACTTTGCTAGTAAACAGGTCTTTGTATTACATAATGATAATACCAACCTCTTTGAGTACGAGACTACAAGCGGTATTTACTTTTGAACCACTTAATACTAATAATAAACTATTTAGTCAGATATTATATTTTATATTTATATTTATACATTATTATAGATTTCTATTTTTAGTTTCGTGAAGTCATAGCATGTTATGTATTCAATGATATTTTTAGTCACAATCATCATTCACTAGAAGTATTTCCTTTAATTTTATTGATTCAATTCAATGAAACATTTCAACCAATGTTATTAACAGATAAAAACTTTCTAAAATATTTTGAGCTGAAAACATGGCTATATACAGGTGCGACAAAGGTGCTGAAAACGGCGTAACAAGACTCGCTTCAGTACGGTGTCCAATCAGCCTAGCCTTCGATATTGAGCGCCAGACCTGTGATTGGAAAACACATGTTAAGAATTGCGATAAAATAGAAAGTAAGTTCTCTACAATACAGGAAGTGGTCGTGCGAAGGGTAGAGTTTCCGGCTTTGCATTGTCAATGTCGCATAGTTCCGGACTTAACAAGTTACCCTTCTATACGTCCACTTCCGTCTGCTTTACATTTATGTTAACATGTTATTTCTTATTAACGCAGGTGCACTAGATCAGGTCTTAAACAGATCACTTGCCCGTACGGCCTGGCTTTCGATCTCGATAAACAAACCTGCGACTGGAAGGGTAAAGTGAACAACTGTGACAGAGTCGAGAGTAAGTTCCGATAAAGAAGCTATTCGCGTGTAGCGAGCAAACAGGCTTGGGTGAAGGGGCCGCGTCGCACTGTAGTTTTGGTGTATTGCATGAGGCCCCGTATAGAGGGATTGGCCCGTGATAGGACCGACCCGCTAGTTACACATTAACATTTCTTCATACACAAAGAACAGTTATTTTTATTATTTTATATAACATAATATAAAAATGTAATGAATTTATTAAATAAATCGAAAATAAATAATACTATACAAAAAAATCCAATTAATAATTACAAAACATTATTTAACCTACTTTTTAAAATGATTACAAAATTAAATGAAGATATGTTGATGTAATAATATGTTTCACTCGACAGAACGAGCGGAATAAAGCACATAAGCAAACTTTAAAACTTTATAACAACAACAAACAATCCTTACACTTAGCAAATGAACACTATCCTTTTTATTTTCATAACGCACACACTTAACATTTTTATTACGCACCTTTCTTAACGCTGTTTGTATGCTAATGCTTCTTTTAACACAACTTCACTTAACACTTATTCACCAACCGGCTTTTGTCAATACTAACTTTCTTAGTTTCACTTGAGTATAAAGATTTTGGTTTTACGCAAAACCATATGTAAATACACCGCTTGTTGGACTAACATAATCTTTAACAAGAATATTTAGTAATCATGTATTAATTTCTTCTTTTCTTAGAATCATAAGTACCTAATGTTTGTGTAAAAGGCTGCTTAAAATTGTAAATAAAAGCCTTTAGGCAGCCTTTTCACAGAATTTAACAAAACGTTTTAGTAAATCATAAAACATCTTTTGATAAGTCACCATAAAGTATTATGTAACTTATTCATGATGGGTCTTTTCATTGTCATCAAAGATTCACAGACTTTAAATTTTTCTTTTCTGTCAGATTTTATTGCAGTTAGCTACCAATCATAAAATATTTGTTACTTTCAGAGCACTTGCTATCATCACACCTTACTTTTAAAGCCATATAAGATTAGTCTTAGATTGGTTTAATCTCTCCTGTTACTAATTATCATAAGGAACTTGGCTATACTCTTAAAATATGTATCAGCTAAGTACTTCTTCTATCTACACTTTCTATTAATTTTTCTGTGATGTTAACTTTGTCATTCTGTCACGCTTCGCTGTCTCTATTCATACTTTTACCTACAATGAATCCCTTTCAACACTTCTACATGGAAGCAAATTACACAGACGAAGCTAAAAGACTTAGTAACGTTTAAGACCTGTGAATTATGTACAAGGCGTTTTAAAAGTAATAAAAAACAACCCGACAAAGTTATCAATTACAGTAATAATCTATTTTAAATTTCAGAACCAAGAAAGGTCATGCCTATACTGAAAACGGATGAACCCATATGTCCTGAGGGAAATCTTGCTTGTGGTAATGGCGATTGTATTGAAAAAGCCTTATTCTGTAACGGAAAACCCGACTGCAAAGATGAGTCTGATGAAAATGCTTGCAGTAAGTTTATCATTTACAATAACAATATAGCACGCAATATACAAAAAAAAATATTTTCTCTGTATAAAAATCAAAATTTGATAATTGACTAATTCATCTAACCACTAAAATTTCTTTACAGCCGTTGACCTCGACCCAAACAGAGCTCCTGACTGCGATACTACTCAGTGTACTCTACCAGACTGCTTTTGCTCAGCTGATGGAACTCGTATCCCCGGTGGACTAGAACCAAATCAAGTACCTCAAATGATAACTATTACCTTCAATGGTGCTGTTAATGTTGATAATATCGACTTATATGACCAAATCTTTAATGGAAACCGTCAAAATCCAAATGGATGCCAAATTCGTGGTACCTTCTTTATTTCTCACAAATACACCAACTACGCTGCAGTTCAAGAATTGCACCGTAAGGGCCACGAAATTGCTGTATTCTCAATAACTCACAAAGATGACCCTCTTTACTGGTCTGGAGGAAGCTATGATGATTGGCTTGCTGAAATGGCCGGAGCTCGTTTAATTGCTGAACGTTTCGCAAATATCACCGATGCCTCTATTATTGGTGTTCGTGCTCCATACTTACGTGTTGGCGGTAACAAGCAATTTGAGATGATGGCCGATCAATACTTCGTTTACGACGCTTCAATAACTGCTCCTCTTGGTCGTGTTCCTATCTGGCCTTACACGCTGTACTTCCGAATGCCTCACAAATGCAACGGTAACGCCCACAACTGCCCATCAAGGAGCCATCCAGTTTGGGAAATGGTTATGAACGAATTGGACAGGAGGGACGATCCTACTTTCGATGAATCTTTACCTGGTTGTCATGTAGTTGACTCGTGCTCTAACATCCAAACCGGTGAGCAGTTCGCGCGTCTCCTACGTCAAAACTTCAACCGCCACTACACAACCAACCGTGCCCCCCTTGGTCTGCATTTCCATGCTTCTTGGCTTAAATCTAAAAAGGAATTCAGAGACGAACTGATCAAATTCATTGAAGAAATGTTAGGAAAGAATGACGTCTATTTCACCTCTTTAATACAAGTAATACAATGGATGCAAAACCCAACAGAATTATCATTGCTTAGGGACTTCCAGGAATGGAAACAAGACAAATGTGACGTGAAAGGTCAACCATTCTGTTCGTTGCCAAATGCATGTCCCTTGACTACTCGGGAACTCCCAGGAGAGACACTGCGACTATTCACTTGCATGGAATGCCCAAATAATTATCCATGGATTTTAGACCCCACAGGAGAGGGATTCAGCGCTAAGAAGTGATCTCTTTAAGTTAAATTAAAAGACTGTACACGTGTAAATAATACTCAATAATAATGTTAATAATTACAATTCCTCGTAAAAATATGGCATGGCGTCCGATATCAACTTCAGATACATTTAATTGTTAAATTGAGTCCTTCAAGTTGTTCTATTGCCCTGTAAGTTGATCTTTGAAGTTGATGTTGTGAAAATACTAGATACCAGTCATGCAACGTCTTAAAACCTTTACAAAGATAGTTAAACGTTATAACTAATAAATGTCAAGTATTTAAGGTTGTTACAAACTTATGATCAATAAAAATTAAATTGGAACCAAATAATGAGTATTTACCCTTATTTTTGCTACTTTTTTCGGTAAGCAATCTACTCGTAATAATATCTTTTAATATTTATGCATAATACCTTTTTCCACAGTTTTTCCCGCATAGACTTCGCTTTACCAACATGTTCCAATTGACAACACTTTTTGAATTACCTTGTTGTCTATCTGTCTTTAGTAAATGTCTCTCAGAGACTATTTCAGGAAGATGATAGAAATTCGACATAGTTGTAATAAGTAAAACATTGTTTACCAGTCTTATTAAAGAAAATACATAAAGGAGCAGCATATACATGTCTCACTGATGGGTTATGGTCTTCTCTAAGCACAGAACACTATTACTTTTCCTAGCGGCGACAACCGAAATCTTCATCTATACACCTATAAAAATAAATAAAATTAAATAGTGAAAATGTATGTAATGTCCAAAAAACATATTTTTACTAAACGCATATGAAAGTATATACAGTACCTATAACAAAAAAAAACAATTTTTAAAAAAAGTTCTATCTGTCGGTCTGTTTATCTGTCTGTTTATTCCAGCTAATCTCCGAAACCGCTGGACCGATTTTGACAGGATTTTTGCATTTTCACTGGCAGATAGCTATCATTATAAGGAATAACTTATGCTAATTTTATTATACAAAAAGAATTAGTGCTCTGCGCAAAATAATTAATACCCATGAAATTTTGAACAAAATTGGATTCAAATAGGGAAGAATAATAATAAATTACTAATGATTATTCTATGCGAACGAAATCGCAGGCACAGCTAGTACAAAATAAATGCCAACACAAAGCACATTTTACGCTAGAGCGTATATCATCGGAAGCATGATTAACACGGGAAATTTTGTATTTGATATCATTAATGGATATTTCTTATTCATAATCAACAAATTATTGTTATCAATGTTTGCTACATACCGTCAACGTCAAAAAAAATTTTTCACGAATGTCATTGATCCTAAAATAAAAAAATTAAAGTAAATCAATGTATTTAAGCATTTGTAATACTTATTTTTCTATGTGATTGTTAATTTTACAATACAAATAAAGGACTTAATTTCAAACAAAACTGAATTTTCCCAAACATTGAAAATTTTGTACAACCGATTTCAATATAAATTATTAAGGATAACTCAAAAACTACTGGTCAGACCTTGATCAAATTTATATGGGACCACATGAGAAGCAACACAAAGAATCATCAAAATCGATTCACGTAGCAAAACGTTATAAAGTACACATAAAAAAAGGAAAACAATATACTTAAATTGAGTACCTCTTCCTTTTTGAAGTCGGTTAAAAACCAAAGAATTGACTAATATCTTATGTATATAAATAAAATGATAAAGGTTTGCATTTGTGCGCGCATTAAGAAAAAAGTACTGAATAGATTTCAATAAGTTTATTTCTTAAACACTTGGCCCTCATCTAAAAAAATATTGCGATATCTTCATTTAATAAAAAGTTATTACAATTTTAAGAAACGACGATTTTTATAAGCACTGCCTGTTCAGTAATGTGTGTTTTCTTTGTTAATATATCAAGCAACGCGGACAAAGTCGCGGGTATCAGCTACATATTTTCCAATAAATTTGAACTCGTTGCCATATAATTAAAATAGACCCAATTAAAATTTGAGCATAAAAATTCATTCTTAAATATTCTAAGTATAATTTTATATACTAGGAGTTAGGCTTCGCTCGGATAGGGTTTATTATTATGGCGTTATTTAGGTTTAAGATAATAATCAATGACCTTTTATTTTGTAAATTTTTCCTTTTTTCAAACTGATTGATGATTTTATCAAGTTTTTCGGATACTCCTGTTTTTGAAGTCGTTTGATACGAGTAAAATGAAAACATCGTCAATGTAGTCGAAGTCAATTAAATACGCATTACTAAGGATAACTCAATAACTACTACTTTTTTGAAGTCGGTTGAAGGAGGAGGTCCTCAATTCGACTGTATTTTTTTTATTTTATATATGTTACTTCAGAACTTTTTTGTAGGTGAACCCATTTTAATTTAATTTAAATCATTTATTTCGGAACTAGTCCATATCACAACTACACATAGGTATAGTATAAATACACATCGAAATTAAAATATTAAATCTAAGTTATGATGTCAATTTTATATGAATTACATAAAAATATATTTAATTTAAATTAAATTATTACAGTTACTTAAATTCATATAAAATACACAAACACAACAAAACAGAAGGCTAACGTAATCTAAATTTAGGTTAAGATCCGGAGTGCTCGACATGCAGCCTAGTCCAGTGTCGCATTATAGGGCAATCCAGATCCATCCGCCAGGCGAACAGTTGCATGTAGTCATTTGAGCCGTCCCGTATGCGCCGCATCAGGGACGCGACTCGCTTCCGAATGATCGTTGCGAATCCGTCTATATTTGCATCCACAAACATTCCTGATGTGCTACAATAGCGTGGCAGCTTCATCAGTGCTCTGAAGGCGTTATTGTATAGAATGCGTAGGGCGTCGTAAGATTTTTTTGTGTACTTGACCCATAGACTGTACGTGTAGAATGATTGGCAGAATGCTCTGAACAACGTAGCCTTTACTTCTGCAGTACAGCGCGCAAACCTTCGTGCCAACATAATGATTCTGTTTTTATTTGAAAGCTGGTGCTTCTCAAGTGGTCTCATATAAATTTAATCAAGATCTGAGTCTAGTCTAGTCAGATCTTGATAATGAGAGCGATTTTTCAATTTTTTTAATAATGCATCAGTCAATTAAATAATTGACTTCGACTACATTGATAATGTTCTCATTTTATTTATATTGAGGTCGGTTGAACAAATTTTTTAATTTTACCACTTGTTTGCAGTCGTTTGAAAATATAACCTAGATCCCTCCTGACACTGCACTCAACATGACAGACATATAAACAGAAAATAAATTTAAATGGTCAAAGTTAAAAAGTTACAGCCTATCCCAATCCTGGGTACAGGCCTCCTCTTATTTCTGAGAGGTTTTAGGGCTAGCTAGCTCAACGCGTGTTGATGGACTTCACATGTCTAGCTTTATTACAATTGGTTCGGCCATTCCGAATATTAGCCCGGACAGACTGATGGACAGACAGAAATTATTTTGACTATAGTTGCTCATACTCCTTTTAACTCGATATTACACACAGACACTTCAATTTAATTTAAATGTATAAAATTGATGTATAGATACCGTGTGCATGGTAGAGCCATGCTGCAGCCATATTAGTAGTATAGTTGTAGCATAAATGGGTCGGCTCGACCGGGGAAGGAACACGCTCTCACAGAATACCAGCGTAAAATAGCAGCTTAACACTGCAGTTTTTCATATGATGAGTGTAGAGAACCGGAGACCTTTTTTATTGGATAAGAGACGTTCCATCTTAGTCCTCGCGGGTGACAACGTATCTGAGTTTTGATTCGCAAACGAAGATAAATGTAGATGTCTATGGGCCACAGCAACCACTTACCATCAGGTGGACTGTGTGCTCGTTTGTCACTCGATCCTATAAAAAAAAAGAATAGGCCGACGACAATCATAGATTGAAAAGAACTATGTGCATCCTAGCATCAAATCGCAATAGCTTTAAGAAAGCATGTGCGTTATACAATAACCCCCATGATAAAAATTTGTTTAACTGTCTAGTTCTTAAAACTAAGTGTAGAGTCATTATCATCATCATCATCATTACAGCCATTCACAAGGCCACTGCTGAACATAGGCCTCCCAAATGAATGTCACAAAGAATGGTCCTAGGCCACATGTATCCATCGACTTCCTACATGTCTTACCAGGTCATCACTCCATCTAGTGGAGGGTTGCCCTACACTTCAACTACAGGTACGAGGCTGCCATTCGAGAACCTTTTTTCACATTGGTCGTCGGTTCTATGAGCTATATGGCCAGTCCATTGCCACTTCAGATTACTAATCTGTTAGGCTATGTCGATCACTCTGGTTCTACTGCGGATATCCTCATTTCTAAGTTTATCAAGCAGAGAATCCCCGAGTATAGCCCTCTCTATAGCTCGCTGAGCGAACTTGAGCTTGCTCATATGGCCAGCAGTGTAGGACCACGTCTCAGTTCCATAGGTCATCACTGGCAACACGCGCTGGTTGTACAGTCTCGTTTTCCAGTTTTGAGGTATACCTGACGAGAAGATGTGTTGTAATTTCCCGAACGCTGCCCAGCCGAGTTGAATACGTCGATTGGCCTCTCGGTCGGAATTAGACTTACCTAGTCGGGCTATTTGTCCCAGATCAATAATATCGAGCTTAGTGCTCCCAACAACTACCGGTATAGGTGTTACATGGACGTTATATAAGATATTTGTAGAGTAATACATATTAATACAATACATTCGGTCTTTTTCTATGAAATTGTCGTTATATATGAGATTTTTTTACATAACGTAAGTATAGACCTAATAAATAATTTATAGGAGTACCTATGAAAACACCAACTCGGACACAAACACACATAGTGTTTGTGTCCGAGTTTGTCAGTCTGTATTTCTGCGAGTCCAGGCTAGTCGCACCAAAAAGTTTTAGATATCGTTATAGGATAAAGTATTCGTTCTCCAGTCCTAAAGCACGAGTTATCTAGCAGCTTATTAGAAGATAGATAAATAGATAATTCTTTACTGTACACCATATCAAT